GTAGGGTACCTCACCCTGTTTTTTAGTTTAAAAAAAAACTCTCCGAGAAGGAAATCACGGAATAAAACTGTTTTGATTGATGAGATCTAGGAAGAAAATGTCTACGAGTAGGGTACCTCACCCTGTTTTTTAGTTTAAAAAAAAACTCTCCGAGAAGGAAATCACGGAATAAAACTGTTTTGATTGATGAGATCTAGGAAGAAAATGTCTACGAAGCTTCTTATATTGAATGGAGGAAAAAAAAGAAAAAAAATAAGATATGTTTTAGACTTTGTACATGAGGCTAGCTAGCTACGCAAGTCAAACGCAATATAACAGAGTAATACCCCAAACGCAGAACGTTTTTCTAGTATAATTGGTGTTAAGATCAAGGGAAGTTTGGATAGTGGTCCGAGATACCGTAAAAGTGAAGCACTAGAATCAAACTTTCCTTCTAATAGCGAACAAAAGAGGGATTTCTTCAATCAAGTGTTCGGCCGGCATTTCTTCAGCTAGCTTTAACTGCTTCCGTGGGATGTAACTTTCTAGATTGCTAGCATCAATGCAACTTTGGAAAAATAATAACTATGTCCAAATAGACCCTTGCAAGTAATGAATTAATTATTACTCTTGAAAAAATGCATTCCATGATTTATTAGAAAGCACTTGTCCCCTTACACAGTTTTTTATATATGACCACTTATATCCTCTGAACTTCAGACAATATTATAAATTTCTCTTAAAACTGAAAAAAAGTTTTAAGAAATATTACATGGAAATCAGATAATGATAAATCAGTTTTTGCCTTCAATTTAACTGAAAAAACAGTTCAATTGCTCTTAAAACTGAGGGCATGAATATAATAGCGTCTGAGATTCAGATGAATACTAGCTGCTAATAAAAGAGTTTACACGGCATAATTCCCTACATCATCAAATTAATACAGTACAAGAGAGGTATGTGCAATTATTTCTTCTTCAAGCATGATAATCAACTACACATCCCAATAAATATCTGTAACTTGTAAGTTTCTTCTAAGGGGAAATAAGCAACTGCTGACATTGCTCTTCATACTGGAATCCATTTTTTTTAGAATCATCAGCAGACCATATAAATATCCCCCCAAGCTTCCCTTGCCTCTTAAGCTCTTGACAAGCCTCAAAAAATCCCTTATCGGGTCTCAACCCGCCTTGAGCCTCCGAATCCGTTGCAAAACTCGCCAGTATTCGTCCCCCGTTATACTCAGACATTTGGAGTTGATACAGACTCAAAAACCTGTCCACAGACTTTATCTCATCATACGCGTAAAATTGGAAATTTACGTAGTCTATAACGTGTCCATATTTTCTCCACAGCGCGGTATAGTGTCGTCGCACTTCATCATCGTCAAATGGAGCTATTGACGCGAATGAAATGATGCGATCTTTTTTCAGTGTCGTTATGAGTTGGCCAATACATTCACTGAATGTGTCTGGGTCGGCGCTAAAATGCTCGTAATCAATGTCAATTCCATCTAAGTTGTATGTTTTGACAATTTGAGTGAGTGATGTAACGGCTTTACTCACCCAAGAGGATGTAGATTTTGGCGCGAAGAATGCTTTTTGGTTCTTCGTGACTAAGTCACCGCCCAGACTGACAGCGACTCGAACATTGTTGTGTTTGAATTTGATGTTGGATACGTCGAAGGAAGTGAGATGTTGAGTGTACCAGAATACACTGAAGTTTCCGTTGGTGGGTTCGGGGTTTTCGACTGCAGATGTGTAGTCGATGGCGAAGGAGAGGATGAAGTGGAAGTCGACGTTAGGGTTTATGGGTACGTCGGTGAACCTTATGCTGTCGAGGTCTGCGCCGATGTACTCACGGAAGAGGCTAGATGTGGCTCCTGTAGTACAGAAGCTTGGTGTCACACAAATCTTATACACGGGTATAGGTAATATTTCACAAAGCTATATCATAAACTTTTTTTTTTATAATAGAGAAAACTATTGTTAGTATTTTCAAAACTACGGAATGATATATGCATGAATAACTGGAAACTATTGTTACTAGCATTAATATGAATTTGATAGGAAGTCTGAACTACCCTTAAAAGTGTAGGACGAAGATAGAGAGAGTAATATAAAAGATATATAAAGTAAAAGATATCATGTGTGAAGCATGTGATAATTTACTCGAATTATCGTTAGATACGGTAGTTTTAGTGGAAAAAGGTCATGATACTTTCAATGGGGGAAAAGAAAAACAGCTTGTCCAAAATCCCCAAAGTTTAGGGTTTTGTGAAAATTTTCACTAATATTTATGATAATGGAGGGAAATTTCTTTGAACGTGCTCCATACACATTACCATGGCTTATTGGCAAGAGGAACACACAGAGGAAGAAGAAGAAGATATTGTATAGTTCCATATGATATTGTTAGATATTTTGTTAAGAAAAGACAATTTTGCCTTCATGAATTATAATAAATATTGTAATTAAAACATGCAATTAAAATATGTGTAACGGCTATATAATTATGAGGAACGTTACAAAATTTATGACGAACGTTACGGAATTAATTATGGGTTTTGTAACGTCTTTTCCAACCCTATATATATATCCGTATGTTGAGCTCAAAATAATAGGAAGAAAAATATACAACAAGTTTCTCTTGTTTTTCTTCTCCCCTACATATTATTTTCATCTACATTTTAGTTTTATTTTATGGGCAACTTTCTTCATCTGAGCTGAAGCTCTGCACTCTCGCCCGAGTGTAGAGGCCGGCCGTTTCCGGGGGTTTTTACCGCTAGGGGGAGGGAACCATCTGCGCCAGGGCGATAGGCGGGTTCTCAATCTTCTAGGGCAGTGAATACACGACTGCTTTCGGATTTATCTACATGCTATAATCTTAATTATTTGATAAATTTCCAACAATCTAGAAGATTGAAATATTTATAGCTTTTGATTTAAATTCGAAAAATTATCTGTTACTGTTCATTGGAATAATTTACTGCTCATTAAAAAAAAATTCATCTTTTCTGTTACTGATCATTTAGATCTATTCATATATTTTTGCTGTTTTTTTTAAAAAAAATTAAAAATAAAAATAAAAATCGATTATTGTTAATTGCTTATCTATTAATTAACTTTTTGTTAAAAAATAAATAAATAGTTTTTGTTACTGTTTAAAAAAAAACAGAGGAAATTTTATAGTTGTTGTTAACACAAAGAAAATATAATTGCTTTAATTATATATTTGTTTATCTATTAGTATTATTGATTTGATGTTATAAAATTTGAAAAAAAATATAACTGTTACTGTTCATTCCAAAAATAAAAACTTTTAATGCTCATTTATTAAAAATGGTACTGTTCATTTTATTAAAAAATGTTACTGTTCATTTAAACAATTTTGGTTCATAATGCTGAAAAAACTTGTAAAGTTAGAGCAAGTATCAGATTGCAAGTTACGAATATCAAAGAACCTTTATTGGTTTCTAAAAGCCTAGTTTATATTTGTTAGAATCATCTAAAACCTACTCTTATCCCCTTGTGCTAGTTAATATGCACGCATTTGAAACATGCTATAAATTTGTAGCAATGCACATTTTTATTCTTAAAAATTTCATATGCATGGTTTTGACAAGAATAAAGAGAACAAACTCTGGATGCATAAATGCTTTGAAATATCTGGATTTTTTCAGGGTTTAATGCTTTTATTTCTTTAACCTATCAATATGGTACCTTCTATTATTAATAATTCCATACTTTGGAGTGCTTATGCATCTAATAAGCTTAGTACAGAAGGTGGTAAAAGTGAATGCAGATTTGTTCAGCAACTTAAGTGGCAGTTGTCTGCAGCAGATGAGTTTTTACTCTCAAGACATGAAAATCATGAGGTTCGAACATCAATAGATAAACCCCTCCTCGGCCTTATCCAACATATGTTTGCAGTATAGTTGCTAGGCAAATTAAATGCTTGCAGCAAATAATTTAAAGTTTCTATATACTGTTAAGGAACAAAAACTCATTGAGTGAACCGATTCAAGTTTTCTTGGATTAGTTGGTGTCTAAGGCAAGGTTTAAGGGTTGCGTAACGCGCTCTGCAAGGAACGAGGTACTTAATTGATCTTTGATCAACCTCTATTACTATCCTTACCTGGCTAACTACCCAGGTAAAACTTTAATCTTTTCACTTTAGGAGTTTTTGGTTTGGAATAAGAGGACCAGAATTATGAGAATAATTCATTTTTCACTTTAGGAGTTTTTTGTTTGGAATAAGAGGACTGGAATTATGTGAAAATTCATATGCATTTATTTAATTACGCTTCTTGCATCATATATTGCCTAATGATAAATGATCAATATATGAGCGAACCAAATCAAAGAGGTGCATTTTAAAAAAAATTCTATTTTATATGGTGGATTATATTTCAAATTTTCAAATATAAAGTCCATCTCTTTTATTGCATTATGATGGATATTGTAATAAATGTTCATATGTCTTTTGGATAACTTGCATTTGTTACATGATTAATTACAAGGTTTTATGCAAGAATGCACTTGAAAATTTTAAAGCACGTATGTACAAATATTATTATTATTATTATTATTTGTATAAGAGGTGGTACTAGAAAATGACAACATAAATCTGGAAGGTCTTCTTTGTAGACAACCAATTTAAAATTGGAAGGTCTCATTTGTAGGCAACCGATTTAAATTTGGACGGTCTTCTTTGTAGGCAACCAATTTGTAACCTCTTATAAAAGAATAATTTAAAATTTTATGCATTTGAATTATGAAGTATGAAATATATTTTAAGATACGAAAATATATTTTAAGATACGAAATCCTATTATGCTCTGCATGTATCTATTATTAATTTCATTCATGTATGTGCATATGCATAACTGCAGAATTTTAGTTCCACATTAGTTTGAAATATTCAGATATTAAGGTCAATTTCTTCAGACATAGACTATGATCTTTTATGATCATAGATCATGACCTAATGTCAATTTCAAACAATATGATGAACTAATTACAAAATAAGAACTTGATAAATAAATACAACGCCTGCTAGGCAAAGTTGTGATTCTAGACTTTGTAAAGTCTGTGAAATGAATCTTAATAACCCTTTGACTAAGGGATTATCCAGGAGTGTGGTTCTGGATTCATCGAGGGAGATGGGGTTAAGCCCATAGATGAGGTCACTGACAGCGGCAACCCAACCCTTATTTGGAGACGTAGTCCCAATGTCGGTTCAATGTGGTAGAAACAAGCTGGACTAGTGACACTCGTGTGGAGCATCGACCTAGATATATTTATATATCATTATGTAGCATTTGCTACTACCCCTTCTCTATGATGACGATGCTCTTATGATACAGCTGTTTATCAATACCTGATTCAAGGGGCCTAATTCAAGGCCTAGTCTATTATGTCCCTCAGGTGGCGATAAACTCACTAAGGAAAGGTTCAAAGCCGAAAGCTACCTCTCCCGAATTCACGATACGAAAGGTTGCCCAACCTATATTTGTTTTATGATTTCTTGATTTATTTATTGATTTCTGAGTCTTCAGTCAATATTGCCTTTTGGGGGGGATTGTTAGATATTTTGTTAAGAAAAGACAATTTTGCCTTCATGAATTATAATAAATATTGTAATTAAAACATGCAATTAAAATATGTGTAACGGCTATATAATTATGAGGAACGTTACAAAATTTATGACGAACGTTACGGAATTAATTACGGGTTTTGTAACGTCTTTTCCAACCCTATATATATATCCGTATGTTGAGCTCAAAATAATAGGAAGAAAAATATACAACAAGTTTCTCTTGTTTTTCTTCTCTCCCCTACATATTATTTTCATCTACATCTTAGTTTTATTTTATGGGCAACTTTCTTCATCTGAGCTGAAGCTCTGCACTCTCGCCCGAGTGTAGAGGCCGGCCGTTTCCGGGGGTTTTTACCGCTAGGGGGAGGGAACCATCTGCGCCAGGGTGATAGGCGGGTTCTCAATCTTCTAGGGCAGTGAATACACGACTGCTCCCGATCAGGCCAGTTTTAATTGTTTATTTTTTCGGATTTATCTACATGCTATAATCTTAATTATTTGATAAATTTCCAACAGATATATGTTAGCAAAATGTGTTCAAGTGATCAAGCAATATATGAGATAAAGGTAAGGGGTTTATACAAGGATGAAGTGGCCGGAGAAGATATATTGGATTCTTAGTGGGACAACGTAGATACATAGGTAGTTCTCGTTTTAACTGTTCTGTGTATAACTTAATTCCAGCTAGCTTCACAAAGTGACAATGGTATAGTTATTACCAGTGAACAAAGGCTAAATGTTTTTTGTGAGTGGGAGTGGGGGCCACAATCCTTTTTGGGCTGGCTTCTTTCCGTGTGAACAGGCCCACCCGATACAATGAATAAACATATATAAATACCATAGTGTTCCTACGGTTTTTGGTGTGCAGGGATTTTTTTTTTTTTGGGGGGGGAGGGGGCTGCGTGCGCAAGTGCAAAGGAACTTTATGGTGTGCGGCTGCAGAAAGAAAAAGTGCATGGAGTTTTTTTGGCTACAGGTGAAAACTCAGAGGCAAAAGTGGAGATTTTAAGAAAGCTTTTGTTAGGATTTTGAGCATCCATTGGTGGAGAAATTTGTGAGAGAATGAGATATTGTTTGAGGGTTTAATTTGTATGATTGTAAACCCTATTTGTATTCTCTCTCTAATAGTAGATCTCCCCCCTCCTTGCCCCGTGGACGTAGGCAATTTGCCGAACCACGTAAAATTGGTTATCTCGCTATTTATATGATTTGTAATAGTTTATTTATGTTCCCTCGACAGGTCAGTCCTAGAACTGATAAGAGGAAGAGCTGATATCCCACTTTGTTGAGATATTTTGCTTAAGGTTCTTGTTTCCTTTGTAAAACAGGAATTCCTATTACGACCTGACTCTCTTGTTGTGCTGCCGAAGTGCTACCAAAATTTTTGCTGCGCGCAATAAGTGGTATCAGAGCCTAGATTTCAGATCTAGGGTTTTGAAATTAGGTGGAGGAAGATTCTTGTGTGAAGCTTGGTTCTTAGATTTCTAGGCTTCAGTGGAGATAGCATTAGGAGTTGTCATTGGAGATTTCGCTTTCCTCGTGTAGATAGGAGATCTATTTGGAATCTGATCTAGGGTTCAGTTGGGTAATTATTAATTTCTATTAAAGTTTGATTCTTTCTCTACAACTTAGAGTTAGTTTGTAATGGGAGAAGAAGGTAAAAGCAACAAGTCGATGGCGAGTACAGTTCAAGTTGATTTTCAGAACACCAAAATTAGTGTGGTGAAGTATGACGGTAAAATCAACTTTTGTTTGTGAATGAGCAACGTACATGATGCGCTCAATGCTAACAACTTGAAGGAGACCATCATGGTCCACGAGAGACCACCAAAATATGAAGAGGCGATATGGGAAAAGATGAATAAGAATGCTTGTGGGATGATCAGGTCATGTTTGGAACAGGAGCTGAAGTATGATGTGATTGGGGTGACGTCTGCAATAAAGATGTGGGAAATTTTTAACAATAAGTACCTTACGAAGAGTGCTGAGAACAAGTTGCATTTACTGTGTAGATTATTCAAATTCCAGATGTCCAGAGGTACCTCGCTTGCGGCTCATGTGAACAACTATACGAAGTTATTGTCGGACTTGGCGAACGTTGATGAAAAGATTTTGGATGAGTACAAGGCTATTATCTTACTAGGCTCCTTATCAGATAAGGAGTATGATACCTTTATGCTCACTTTGTTGAACGGAAGATTTTCTATCAGCTATAGTGAAGTTACTAATGCATTGACGAATTATGATTTGAGGAGGAAGGACAAGGAGACTCTATCAGCTATAGTGAAGTTACTAATGCATTGACGAATTATGATTTGAGGAGGAAGGACAAGGAGACTTTCCGTGCTAGTACTTCAGGCGAGGCCTTGTTATGATTTGAGGAGGAAGGACAAGGAGACTTTCCGTGCTAGTACTTCAGGCGAGGCCTTGTCGACGAGTGGTAGAAGCCCATATCCAAAAGGTGGTAATAGAGGAAGGTCAAAGTCTAGAGGTCGTCACCAGTTAGCAAAGAACCAATGTGCATTCTGTAAGGAGCAGGAACATTGAAAGAGAGACTGCCCGAAGCTCAAGGAGAATGAGAATGGTAAGAAAAAGGGCTCAAAGGTCAATGAGGTAAATATTACGAAAGGCGATGATTTCGATGATTCGAGATTTTCTCTACTGATTACTCCAGAGGTGAACCACTTGGATGCATCAGATTGGATGCTTGATTCCAACACTACTTATCATGTGACCCCTAGGCGAGATTGGTTTGCATTGTTCAAGAGACTCGATGAGGGTGTTGTTATCATGGGAAATGATCAATCCTGTGACATTTGTGGGATAGGTACCCTGCGGATTCGGATGCACGATGAAGTAGTCTGTGAATTGAAGGAGGTGAGATTTTTTCCTCAGCTGAAGATGAATCTTATCTCAGTTGGAGCTTTGGAGGCGAAGGGATTCAAAGTAACATTTGAGGACGCTGTAGCAAAGGTTACTAAGGGGTCTTTAGCGGTGATGAAGGGAGCCCGCAGTCAAAATTTATACTATCTAAAGGGGAGCACCGAGATTTGCCAGGTTGCTTCGGCTAGTCCAGAGGCGCACATGAGCAGGCTTTGGCATTACAGGTTAGGGCACACAAGCAAGAAGTCACTGTAGGCGCTGTGTAAGTAGGGGCTATTGAAAGGAGTCAAGAGTGGTAAAGTGGAGTTCTGTGAGCACTGTGTACTTGGCAAGAAAATAAAGGTGAAGTTTGGGACTGCTATTCATAGGACGAGGGGCATCCTGGACTACATGCACACAGACGTTTGGGGTCCCACTAAGACTGCATCACTTGGTGGTTGACATTGGTTCGTCACGTTCGTCGATGACTATTCTAGGCGATGTTAGGTGTACACCATAATGAAGAAGAGTAAAGTCCTAGATTTGTTTGTGGAGTGGAAGAAGAGATTGGAACTGCAGACTGGGAAAAAGATCAAAACGTTATGATCCGACAACGATGGTGAGTATACTTCAGACCCCTTTCTGCAGCTATGTCGAGACGAGGGCATAGAGAGGCACTTCACGGTTAGTCATACACCATAGCGGAACGGGATGGCAAAGAGGCTAAATCGGTCTTTGCTGGAGAAGATCCGATGTTTATTATCGCAGAGTGGTTTGAAGAAGATCTTTTTGGCTGAGACACTTACATATGAGAGCCACCTCATTAATAGGCTGTCTTCATCTGCGATTGAGGGGAAAACCCCTATGGAGAAGTGGTCAGGAGAGCTAGCACACGACTTGTTAGACCCTAGAGGGTGGTGATTAGGGTCTTATGCTAATCTAATCCGATTTTATGCCAATTAAAACTAATTAACAAATTATTCTTGCAAGAGAGATATACAATATGTTACAAGCAAGAATAAGTAATATGAACAAACGTAAATATCCTAGCAATGAGATATACTATGAGATATATGCAAGGATATATAATTAACACAAGGGTAAATAATCTAAACTAGACAGTGGGCAATATAATCAATAAACAATATACAAAGGCGATATAAGATATGAACATAAAAATAAGTATGCCAATGCAATCACAAACAAATGATATGATTACGGAGTTCGGTCCCCACGACCTACGTCTCCGCTCCTCACCTCGAGGAGATCTCCACTATCACAACCGGGTTTTCTACGCTCACCCAAATAACGTTTACACCTCACAATATTGGTTTTTAACGCTCACCGATCAACTTCCGCTCCTCACACTCGGTTTTCTAGTTCACCAAAAACTTCACAATTCACACTCTCACAATGTCGGTTTTTAACGCTTACCAATCAACATCTATACCTCACACTCGGTTTTCTAGCTCACCGAAAACTTTACAACACTAACAATGTGTAGGCTGTCTAAAAATCACAATAGATAGCCGATTCTCCCTCAAACACTGATGATGGAAGTTACAATCTAACGACTTCCAGAAAGCTACAATTTGAAGACTTTCACGTAGATCGATGAAGGTTACAATCTGACGACCTTCACAACAACTGATGAAATCTCTAATCAACAACCTTCACAATCAACATCGGGAGTTACAATCTGACGACTCTCACATATCAAAGAGCTAAAGCAAAGATTACAAAACGACGATCTTTGCAACGCTCTGACAGAAAGAGACTACAAATCGACGATCTCTTCAATCCTAGACACAAGACTCATCCCTGCATCCCAGAGGTGAAGCACAAGTGGTCTCATTCCAGAGTCAAAGCTATGCAAACACAGCTCCCAACCGCTGCCCAACGCAGCTTCCAACCGCTGCCTAATGCAGCATCCAACCGCTGCCCAACGCAGCTCCCAACCGCTGCCCAACGCAGCTCTCAACCGCTGCCCAACGCAGCATCCAACTACTGCCAACGCAGCTTCTAACCTCGACCCAACGCAGCTTCCAACAGGATGCCAACGCAATTTCCAGTTGCTGTGTCAGAGCCTCCAAACACTGCGTTCGAGCTTCCAGACACTGCGTTTGAATGCAGAATTCATGCCAGAGCACGGATTTTGTGTTTGACTCGTTCAAACACGAGCTGAACGGTTTCAAAACCGTTTTCCACGATCTGAGGAGATCACAACTCCACTCAGGAGTGATTTAAGGGGGCGGTTACATCCCATTAGCCCCACTTAGGAGCAAATTAAGGGGGCGGTTACACCTTTTAATCCCTTATAAATAACTAAAAATTAATTCAGTTCAGGGGTTCGGGCTGTTGGAACTTCTTGGCAGCAACAAAAGAGATCCTTGGGCTGGCTTTTGGATCCTTCTCCTTGGCAGCAAAGAAGAGATCTTCGGCTTGTCTAACCAATTACGGTTAAGATCAATCAACTCATCAAGAGTTCTAAAACTTACCATGTAAGTTCTTCACAACGTCAAATCGTGAGGAGAAGATCATGTTACAGTGAAACAAGACGTCGGATCGTCAACGAGAAGCAAACTCAACGCGAGCATTCGAGGGAGGCATCTCATCGCCACCGTAAAGAACCCAGATTTAAACAAAGGGAAGAATCCAGATCATTCTCCTCTCTTTTGTAATCAGGAAATCCAATTGTAAGCGAGAGTTGAGAGAGTTGTAATCATTCTTTTTCTAAGCAGTTAGAGAGAATAAAATCAGATACAGTTCTTTCATCATTACAAATTTTTCCACAAACACAACGTAACAACAAATATGTTCTCTATAATAGATGAGAACTCAATGAAAGCTCACACTCAATTGTTACAACTCTCACTAATCTAAATATACTATGTATAAAAATACAATAAGCTCAAGTGGGTGTGTGTAACAATGAGTAAAATTAAATCAAAACTAAACTCAACATAAAACTAGCTTTAATAAGATGATAATCAAACAAATAGATATAAACTAGAAATAGAGTTTAGAAAACTTCTCAATAGATCAAGAGGTAGAGGAGAAAGGTTGGATGCTCAAACACTAATGGTTGATCTCCTCAAGCTCTTGTGAAATTGATATCACAAAACAAACTATCAATTTGCTTAAAAGCTTTTTAAACAAAACTTAAACCAAACA